GAATATGCCCATTACTATACGCCGTGTCATTGCCTTCACCACTCTATTAGCGAGACGCTCTATTCTCTTAAAATGGATACATGCTTCCCCACCAACACATGATCAGTGGATACGTGATGTCTTACAATGAAAGAAGGGTTAAATGAAAGAAGAAAAAAACTGTAAACAAGGACTCTCTACAAACCTTGAAGTGAATATGGAGCAATACATTACTTTATTTTATTTTCAAGGAGGTCCTTTGTAATGATCCCCACTGTCTACATTTGCTGACTGTAACATCTGTGCTGTTTTGTATTGATTTATACTGTTCTTACTTCTTGTCATTTGCTGGATTATGACTTGTTTGCAATAAAAAGATTTGTGTAAAAAAAAAAAAAAAGGAGACTAAATGGAGTCTCTGAGATGTTTTCAAATTGGTACTTTAATTAATAAAAAGGCGCGGTAAAGTCACAAACAGGATATTGTTCGACAGGAGAGAAAGTCTGCAGCTTCCTCTCCCAGGTGCCGGCCGTGCAGAAGAGAGCTTACAAGCATTCGTCCTTCCCGCTTGCTCGCTGTTCGCTCCTCCTCCTTGTGAGCTGTAGTGACGTAAGGGACTTCCCCCCTCGTTCGTCTGTGTCCGATATCGCGTTAAACAGAGGACTTCGACATTTTACATTCATTGCTTACTTCCACATGCCTTTTCTCCTCCTTATCTCTTTCATAACTTTATATGTAATACATGTTAACGGCGTCAATAGCCACTTTAATGATACTAATGGGCGGTAGTTCCGGATGTCGTCATGAAGGATTTTCAGAATAAAAGCTTAACAACTGGTTGTGCACAAGAACTTCTGGTTTTTCAGTATAAAACAGCATTTAAACTGACGGTATGTTTAAGGTACATTATGCTATCAAAACATTGATTTTAATTTCTAACACTCCTCACCTTCTTTACGGCGTTGCACGGAGGAATGACAGTGAAAGACATTTTCACTTCTGCATCTTGGTCTTCCCCCTGTTCTTTTATTCGTTTGTATTTGAGGGATTTCTCCCATTCCTCTCTGACAGGACACTCAGTACTGAGAGTCCTGTCAGAGTGAGTAATGTCGGGGTTTTTAAATTGCATGCCCTCTCTGAGAGCTGTTTTTTTCCCCTCTCTTGATCGTTTTTAACAAATGAGACTCGATCTCTACTTTTTAAACGACAGGTAGCCCGAGTAAGCCTACCTTCGTTCCCTGAGGGAGAATATTCATTTTTTTAAATGCTATATTCCCTGGGAATGTGATGCTCCATTTACGCATTGGCAAAATGGACATGGGTTATTAACTGAGTAGGTGTGTTTTGTGCTTCTGGTAACGGACGGAACCAGTGGGGCGTAGACTACATCCTGCTTCGCCCTTAACCCAATAGCGATAGCCTTAGAGGGCGAAGCCTTATACGATATAGAACTGGGGTTACGTACTGTAACCCAGCTTCTATGAGTATAGGCGCAGCCCTCTAAGGTTCGGGCCCCACTGGCTCCGTGAATAGCTGAAGAAAAGCTGTTGGAGTGGATTGTAGGGCCTACTTCCTATTTATACGGAAGTGAGCCCGGAGGTGGGGCCCACGTCATAGGTGGGCGTGGAATAAGTCTGTCAGTGCTGCACACGTGCAGTGGGATTACCCAATAGCGATAGCCTTAGAGGGCTGTGCCTATACTCATAGAAGCTGGGTTACATTACGTAACCCCAGTTTTATTTTGAAAGGTGTTCACCCCCTGTTTTTAGTCTGTGGTTGCTTCCTGACTCTGTGTTTTCCCTCCAGTCTTTATTACTGATTCTGTTCACCTGTGTTTTTCCTGCTCTCCCATCTGTGTCTTGTCCTCTGATTAGTTTTGCATTTAGGTTCTGGTATTCTGTTGGTGGTTGTGGGATTATTGAGTCGTTCACAAGGGAAAGAGTTCTGTTTATTGCGTTTATTATTTTACAAAATAAAGGTATTTTCAGTTAACACTTTTGTCAGTCCTGCAATTGGGTCCTACCTGCTCGGCGCAACCCATGACAACTCTTCCACTATATTATGTTCACAAGTTTTGAAGCTGATGTCTTTACTTTTCGACACGAACATCTCATTCAAAAATGATGACATCAAATACAACAAACACCACCTCTTTCTCTGCACGCTGGTAATATCACATAATTATGAATGAGGTTTTCCCCCAGGCTGTCAGAGTTAGCATATCTGAACTTCAACTTACGTACTTCTCAAAACAGCAGGACAACCTTGTGGATTGTTGACCCGAAAACATGCTGATAAGATTGTTCCAATGGAGAAATAAAAGGATCTGTATTAGTGGAGAATATAGTTTGGTGCAGTTTATTACAACAGGTTTTAACAAAAGTACAAAGAACAATAGTTTCACCTCTCTTGCCCTGTGGCTTTTCCTGGTATACAAAAAGTTTCCCTTTCTGGTGCGTATGGTAACTAAATAATATAAATTAAATAATAGCTCAAACAATTATGTTGAATTTTCAAGATATAAAATGTTGAGAACACAAGAGCTTTTGAAATTGCATCAACAACTTTTGATATTAAAACTGTTCTTTTCAATCAATCATTATACAATGGGCAGCATAATCGAGCATCTGAGATGTTTCTGGGAAATCATGTGACCAAAGAGCACCGCCCCCCAACTGGTATTTAAAAACATGTTGTGCTCTCCGCCTCCTCATCTTCATAGATCAACAGCACAGGTAAGAACTCTTTAGTCAGAATTCAGAGAAAAAGTGTTTGACTTTTAACTAAGAGACTGGTCAGCTTTCTGTCCCCAGAGTCAGAACTAAACATGGAGAAGCAGCGTTCAGTTATTATGCTCCAAATATCTGGAACAAACTCCCAGAAACCTGCAGGTCCGCTACAACTCTGACTACTTTTAAATCCAGGCTGAAGACTTTTCTTTTTGTCGCTGCTTTTAATTGAACTATTCATATCTTAGACTGCACTGTAACTTTTATCCATGTACTTTTTCTTTTAATGTTTAATTTATTATCTTTTCTTTTTAATGACTGATTTTAAATGCCATTTTCTTAATGTCTTTCGTTTTTTGTAAAGCACTTTGAATTGCCTTGTGTTGAAAAGTGCTATATAAATAAACTTGCCTTGCCTAAGAATTCAAAAAATTGGCAGAAATCAGCATAATCTTTCTTTGAAAGCCAGTCAAAATATGACAGGTATCTATATTTACATTCAGCCTTTTACGGTTTACTTTTATCTAACTGTGTGTTTGACTGTGCACTTACTGGAGGTTTTTACGCTCCGTGTTATGTTACATTTTAATAGCTTAAATCTAAAGAAATCTGGAATTCAAAAGCTCGAAATTTAGAGAAAAGCCTGCATTTTTTCTCGCAATTTCAAGTAATGCAAGTAGCATGACCATGAACATTTTTTAAATAGTTATGAAAATATACACCATATCTATGTTTTTGGGGGTTTTATTTTCTCGTCTTAGATTTCGAGGCTATTTCAGTTGTGCAATATATACTATGTTAAAATTCTACTACTGGCTACTTATTCTTTTTGTAATACCAAATACCTATTTTGTAATATAACACTGTAACACATATACTTATTAGTACATATACTATTTAGTACCGTCCTCTGGCAGCTACTTCATTACTTTCTACTTGTTTTACTTCATTTTTATAACCCTATCCTAATCGTAATCCCATGGCCCCTTTGGTTTGGCTGGCCAAGATTTCCTTTATGTTTTTGTTCTTTATGGCCAGCCCTCCAGACTGGCATAGTTTGATTCACATATAAATAACATTATTTCGTAAACAGTCTCTCGGGTTTGGCGTTTGTAATATATGTAGCGGGTCACAAACTGAGACACACAGGTTCTAGGTTGTCTTGTCGACGTAAAAGTTACAAAGTCTAAACTTTCCCTGTGGAAGATTTGAAAATCTGTAGGTTACTCACTTATTTTTCCTCCATCCAGAAAATCCTTTGGGTGCTCCATTCTGAAGTTCCTGTAAACCAGTCAACATGGCAATGTGAGTATTACTAACGTTTCTAAAACAACAGAATGAAATGCTGCTTTAATACCTTACGACATCATTATTGAAAAAGCAATACGTATTGACAGCATGGTTTCAGGTCCTACAACATCAAATCATACATTTCACTTAAGTCACTTGCTACGCTACACTACTTTTCATGTTTTTATATTTATTTTTACACCCACCTTTTTGATTTTTCCTCACAAAATAGGGAAATAAATAGGAATCGAGCATGACGAATACAAAATTGAATATTATGACCACATGTGTCATTAGGACTGAACGTCGCTGTTCAAACACACTTTGGGTTTCCGCCTGCAGCATTTGTAGTGAAAGAAAGAGGTCACAGAAATGAAGGGAGGAGTTTTATAGCATGGATGGGAGGGGCTGGTGCTTGATTAACAGTCTAGGGGGTGATGCACTTTCTACAGGTTACTTTCTACATGATCATATTATTATTTTACTACATTTAAAAAAAATTAATAAACAGTTAATTAACAGTTACAGTTAATACGTCTCAGAGGCGTCTGGTTATACTCTTTATTACCAACAAATAATGCAAACGTGCCAAATATTCCTATTGGAGAATATTTGGTGGATTTAGGAACAGACACTAGGGAAGGCAAGGTCAGGTCGTTTTATTTAATTAGCACCTTTCAACACAAAGTCATTCGAGGGGCTTTACAAAAATGAAAAACATCAAGATCATTTAATAATAGTGCAGCGGAGTCACATGATAGCATGACATTTAAAAACATTTGAAAAGCAGTCATTAGAAAGGGATGATGGTTATCCAGGTCATTAGAAGGAGATCTCCGGCTCGGTGTCACTGCTTTTCTGTGAAGTGGTACGTGTTTAATTCTACATTCAGTAGTTTTTGAGCCAATGTCTTTACTTTTCTACAGGAACACCTCAACCAGATGTAAAATCCATGGCACAGTTGATATCCAGCCAGTGTCTCCAGCTGTCTACCAGCTAAATATGAAAGAAGGGAACATTGGCTCTATTAGAACATTTACTCATGGTGAAAAAGATCCAACAAAGACAAACAAAACCATCTTGCTTGTTGGTGAAACAGGTGCAGGAAAATCCACTCTGATCAACGCTCTGGTTAACTACGCCATGGGGGTGGAGTTCAAGGACAATGACTGGTATCAGATCGTACAGGAAGGGAAGAAGAGTCAAACAGGAAGTCAGACGCCAGACGTGATCGTGTATGAGGTCTTTGGTCTTGAAGACGGAACTCTGCCTTTCTCTCTGACCATCATCGATACTCCCGGATATGGTGACACCAGAGGGATTGAGAGAGATGTCCTCGTCAGCGAAAGATTGTTGGACTTGTTCCGCTCAACAGAAGGAGTTCATGAGATCGATGCAGTGTGTCTGGTGCTGAAAGCGAGTGACTGTCGACTGAGTGACCGACTGATGTACGTCTTTGATTCAGTGGTGTCTCTGTTTGGAAAAGACATAGAGAAGAACATCGTTGCCCTCCTCACACACTCACACTTTTTTAGCTCTGATAACGTTCTAGAAGCTCTGAAAGATGTGAATATCATGTGTGCAAAAGACAAGGAGGGTCAGCCTGTTCATTTCATGTTTGATAACGCCCATAAAACAGAGAAAAAAAATAAAAAATGAGCTTGTTCTAAAGTATGCTTGGGACTCAACAGAAGATGAAATCAGACAATTTGCAGATTTCCTGAAAAGAACCAAACCTAAGGACTTGAAAAAAACCGTTGAAGTGTTGAATTCACGCATCAGCCTGGCAGCCTGCATCCACAACATACTGGGGAGGATTGAGTTCATTGACCTGAAACAGAGAGAGATCAAACGGACTCAGGAAGCTCTGAAGAAACACGAACAAGACATGAAGAATAACAAGGACTTCACAATAGAAGTTGATGAAGTCTATAAATGTAAAGTACCTATTAGTGAGTGGAGATGGTGGGCATTAGGGTTAAACTATGGAGGAGCTGTCTGCTGTGAAGTCTGTAAGGAGAACTGTCACCATCCATGCACACTGGCCTGGTATCCAAGTCAGTGTGAGGTCATGCAAAACAGAGGAAATGAGCTCTACTGCACGGTGTGTACTGGGAAGTGTCATGAATCCAAACACGTGAAAACAGAACAATGCACTGAATGTGAGGATGAGTGCAGTGATCCAAATCATCCAAAAACACCCTGGAGATATGTGAGCAAGACAAGGAGAGTTAAGAAGGACATACATCAGATGAAAGACATGTATGAGAAGGGTAAAGAAGACAGTGAGGAGTCAGTGAGCCTCTTGGAAACCCTCCAGAAGAACATAGAAGACCTCCAAAAAGAAAAAGATCAGTTTCTGGAAGAGTCTTTCCAACATGTGGTGGAACTGGAGAAGATCGCTCTGAATGTTGTTTCCCTCTCCACTCATGTCCACCTGGACTTCCTGATTGAGAAGATGAAGGAGAAGGGAGACACAGAGAAGGTCAAGAAACTGGAGGAGATGAAAAGTCAAATGGATCAAAATCCAAGAGCCAAATCAGCGCTGAGCTACATGTCTGGTAAAACAGCAGCTTTTGGTAAAGCAGCTATGGATCTCCTCAGAGGAAACACAGCTGAGCAGAAAACAAGCTCTACACTTTGATGAAAGGTATTTCATTATACCAAGTGTAATGCTGATAAAATGTGATTGACTTTTTTCACTTTGTAATTCCTGGAAACGGCGCCCTTTGTGTTTTACCGTTCAATAACCAATCCTTACTTCACTGTTCACGTTATGGACAATTCATATTTTCAACATCTCGGGTTCCCTTTGTCCTTTGTGACCCAAAGTCCCTCCTCACAATGTCCGTGAAGTTCTGCATGCAGCCCAACATGTAGCTACTGTGCATGCTCCTCCAGCTGGTTACCGAGCAGAAGAGGAAGAAAACTAACTGAAGGATTGTTTGGAAGAGATGTTGTTTGAGGATACTCGTCGTTACCAGCATGAATATAATGGAGAGAGTTTGTGGAGCTCCAGACGAACACAGACCCTCGATTGTTGCTCTGGTTTCAAATTGAGGAAAGAGCCCCCCCTGCTGGTCAATGTTAGCTACAGCAGCTCTCTCTCTCCTCTAAAGCATGGCAAATAAACCAATGCATGATTTGATGACTTGTTCTTTTCATGTAAAGTAAATTGACTGAGGCAAATACTTTGGAATAAGAAAATGATGCCTTTGAATCTTTAGTTGACAGTTCTGCAGAAAGTCTTTGCAGCTCCTGAGGCTTTTGACTGATTTCTAAACTATGTTTGGAGTAAAAGACGATGTGTAATCATTTGTTCTGATGTTATTGTGTATTCTCCACATATGAGGATGTTCGACCTGCAGCTCACTTTCTTCAGATCACACTCATCACATGAACTGCATCTAAAAGAGACGCAGCTTTCTGCTGGAAAGTAGAAACAAGGAAAAACTCCATTTCTAGTTTTCTACGAGTTGCATTTATAACGTTTTAGATGTTCATCATGAGTTGCTTTATTTTGAGACTTGAGTTTCAGCAGTTTAGTTCAGATTCTTCATCATTTAATCATTGTTATCATTTGTAATCATTTGTAACCATATATCAGTGAATCAATAAAAACAAGTATCTTTTGTGGTCTACTGAAAGACAGCAGCTCCTCCTATCATCGTCTGACCTCTGAGCAAAGCTCGATGCGGCCTCTTGGGGTTTAGAGGAATGTATCATTACATTATAAATACATGTTAGGTGTTGACCCTAATTACAAATCCTCTCCACAGATATTTAGTTTTCTTAAAAACAAAAACAGATGGTTTTCTGATTATGGGAAAGTTGTTGGTGAAAAAGTAATAAATATGCAAAGTATGTGATTCAACAACATGTAAATAAATGTTTTTGAAATATGCTATAGGGAGACATTTCATTACGTCTCCTGAAGTTTCATTCTAGATTAGACATGTGCAAGTTTATGAATATTTAATATAAGAGCACACGTTTGGTTCTTTATTTGAATCAAGATGAAACATGTAGAGTAACTAGCTCCATGTAGTGCTGTAATTAAATAACTAAATACAAGTTATTGCATCTGTTATAGAGGGCTACAAAAGGGTTACATCAGAATATATACTTTTAGTAAGAATTGTATTTGGAGAACATACAACTAATACTATTGCTTGGTTCCAATCCCAGTGTGTGTGTGTGTGTGTGTGTGTGTGTGTGTGTGTGTGTGTGTGTGTCTCTGTGTGCGCGTGTGTGTGTGTGTGTGTGTGTGTGTGTGTGTGTGTGTGTGTGTGTGTGTGTGTGTGTGTCTCTGTGTGCGTGTGTGTGTGTGTGTGTGTGTGTGTGTGTGTGTGTGAGTGCGCGCTCGTGTGTGTGTGTGTGTGTGAGTGCGCGCTCGTGTGTGTGTGTGTGTGTGTGTGTGTGTGCGCGTGTGTGTGCGTGTGTGTGTGTGTGTGTGCGTGTGTGTGTGTGTGTGTGTGTGTGATTGAGGCGATGACGATCTGCTAATAAAACATATTTGTATCTAAAAGGTAAAGAATTTATATTAAAACGTTTGTTTATTAATTAGATCGTTTAGACAGTCATTTTTTATAATTTATATATGTATTGAAGATATACGCTTTAAGGCCTCTTGGATGAGGGTTGCAGCCTAAATCCTTAATGTAGCACTACTGCCCTCTTCTGGATTTAATCACAATGTCGTTATAAACAGTATATATTATTTTGATTTCAAATAACTATTTACAGCTGGAAAAGTACTAAAACTTTACTATGAACATATTCTGCAAAAAGTAAAGTAAAAGTCCTGCATTCAAAACCTGACTGTAGTAAAGTGTGTCAGTGAAATGCAGTTAAAGTACTTCAAGTAAAATAATTGATTGATGCCCCCTTAGGTTAATAAACAGTTAAACAAACTGCACTAGTCTACTAACAGAATAGTGCAGCATCTCCAGCTAGCTAGTTAGCTTTACATATATCACATACTCTTTCAAGGACACTTGTGACTCTCTATGTTTGGTGCAACTAGTTAACTCGCCAACTCGGTTAAACCAAAAAGATTTAGAGAAGTCCACTTTGATTGATGTTATCTTACAAACGCACCTCACCGTTTCTCCGCAGTAGGCACGTTTTGTAATGATATAAGCGACCACTGCGCAATTGCTTGTGTGAGAACCTGTAAGATCCCTAAAGGAAAGCCACGTCTCATTCACAAGAGGCGATTCAAACATTTCGATGAGCAGGCGTTTCTACATGATGTTTTTAATAGTGATTTACACATTGTTTCACTTATGACCGATGTTGAGTTAGCATGGAATTATTTTAAATCCACCTTCTTGGCTATATGTGACAAGCATGCTCCTTTTAGGACATCTAGGATAAGCGGTAAAGACAACCCCTGGTTTAATGATTCTATATCCTCTCTCATTCGACAGAGAGACACTGCCTGGGCTAAAGCAAAGAAATCGAATATTCCATTAGATTGGAATCTGTATAGGACATTAAGAAACAAATGCACTAAGCTGATTAAAGACTCTAAATGTGCCTACTATCTTAATGCAATACATGACAATTTGAATAACCCTGCAAAGTTTTGGAAACTTGTTAAATCCTCCTCAGGTTCTATCACTCCAAACAGCCTTCCTGATCTCTTACGGGTAAATCAGAGTGAAATCATGGGCAAAATGGATATTGCAGACAGCTTTAATAATTATTTTATTTCTGCTGGCTCAATCTTTGATTCTAGCAACTCAGGGATGATCGCTGCAGAAGGAGAGCCAGGTCCTCCGCCACTTGACCCTGATCAACTGTTCACCTTCGCCCCCATCTTGACCGCTCAGGTTCACAAAGCTTTAATGAGCCTAGATGTAAAGAAATCTTCAGGCCCAGACAAGATAGAGCCGTTCTTCTTCAAAGTTGCTGCAGGTCTGATTGCAGAACCCATAACCTGTATTTTGAATCTCAGTCTTTGTGCTGGTGAATTGCCTAGCTCATGGAAGTCGGCCATGGTTCTCCCCTTGTTAAAGGGCGGACACCCCTCTGACCTAAATAATTATCGCCCTATTTCCAGACTGTCTGTAATGGCCAAAGTCTTTGAATCTTTTGTAAACGAACAACTGAAAAAGTTTCTAACTGACCATAATATTCTTAACGAGTCTCAGTCAGGCTTCAGATCAGGCCATAGCACTACTTCAGCGGCTATGCTAGTCTCAAATGACATAATTGAAGCACGAAACAAGAAAAAACACTGTGCAGCATTGTTTGTTGATCTGTCTAAAGCTTTTGATTCTGTGGATCATGCATTGCTACTGCAGAGGCTTGGCTGCATAGGTCTTGGCAAAATGGCTTTGAGCTGGTTTAAAAACTATCTATCTGAAAGAACTCAGTGTGTCTCAGTAGAAGATTATAACTCAGCTGCTCTTACTGTAAACAAAGGTGTTCCACAAGGTTCTATTTTGGCCCCTGTCTTATTCTCCATCTTTATAAATGAACTAGGAAATGGGATAAACCCAGCACGGTTTCATTTATACGCCGATTATACAGTTGTTTACACAGTGGCTTCCTCTTTGACTCAGGCCATAGAGCTTCTACAGGATGCTTTTAATACACTGCAACACTCCTTGCTAAGGCTAAGACTGGTCCTTAATGCAAAAAAGACCAAGTACATGACCTTCTCTCGCTCTCGAGCTAATACAGCTGTCCCTCCGATTCTGACACTGGAAGGGACATGCCTTGACAAAGTAGCATCCTACAAATATCTGGGCATATGGATTGATGAAAAGATGGCCTTTGATGTTCATATTGGGAACCTACTGAGAAAACTTAGACCTAAACTGGGCTTTTTCTTCCGTTTAAAGAAATGTTTCCCGTCTGAAGCCAGGAAGAGGATTGTGCAGAGTTCCTTTCTGTCTGTATTAGACTATGGCGATGTGATCTATATGCATGCTCCTTCCTCCCTGCTTAAAAAGCTGGATTCTGCGTACCATACTGCTATACGTTTTGTAACGGGTGCAGGCTCTCGCACCCACCACTGCACTTTGTATCAGTCCCTAGGATGGTCCTCTCTGTACCAAAGAAGACAATCACACATGTTGATTTGTATCCTTAAGTCATTGCTAGGTAAGCTGCCCTTATATATCTCCAGACCTCTGTCCTTTTATACTTGCTTCTTTAATACCAGACGAGCAGCCAATGGGATGCTTTTAAATGTTCCTTTGATGCAGTCAGAGCTTGGTAAAGCTGCATTCTCCCACTATGCTCCCTTTTTATGGAATACGCTGCAAGTAAAACTTTGTCTAGAGGCACTTCCTACTGTAAATGCTTTTAAAGGTATGCTACGATTAGCCCTTCATGAAACATGTAACTGTTTTACCTGATGCTGATGTGATTATGCTTCTTGCCACTGCACAAATGGCCTTCTGTATTTATATTTGAATTGTATGTTATTTGTTTAATGCCCTTGTTTTATGTTGAAACTTGTTGTGTGCCGTGTTGGTCAGGACTCCCTGGAAGAAGAGATCTTGTATCTCAATGGGACATTCCTGGATAAATAAAGGATAAATAAAAAAAAATATATATATATGTATTATGTTATTAAAAATGTATTCCCCCAGGCCCTTATTGGGTTTGACGTTTGTGTTGTTTAAT